TTACAACACAATTCATAACACAATGCAAGCAAAGTTTCTTCCTGACGAATCCCTAGCAAATTTGCAAAGCTCTCTATCCCACTGGTTATTATTAGCACCAAATTGTGTAAAAGACCTATTAAACACTAGAAGAGGTCAGGTCAGACAACACCTTTAAAGCTGAAATCTCAAATAACAGCATAAAAAGACTGCAGCTAAAAGTAATTAAAATCAAAAGTGTTGGAGTTAAAAGACTTGCAACAGGAGCTCCAGACACATCTCAGAAACCAGCAGATGTGCTTTTTTACTCAGACACAATTGCTACAGAAACCACAACTGCAATTTAACAAAGGTAAGTCATGCATTTGGATATGAATCCATTACTCTTAATACCTTCTTCTTAATTCAATTTATAATCAGTGACAGAATTAATGTGGTAAGTACAAAGTCACCATGCAGTAACAATAGTTACAGCCAGAGCAAAAGCAAAGATAAGACAAACTCATGGCCAAAATTTCTCCCCTCCTTTTATCAGCAAGTCAAGAAAGATACTGCTCCTTGTAACTACATAGCCCTGTAATGCTATGTTCTAGGAACAGCTACCAGCTCAGCACTGAACTTCTGAGGCATCAGGGCTGATGCTGGTCATGCTTGCTCTGGCTGAACTCCCTCTGCCCTACCTGCTACTTGGCTTTACTTCATTTAGCTGTGACAGCAATTTTTCTAACTGACCAGATGTCTCTGGCCAATTTGTTTTACCTTTGCTATCTTTGTATGGTGCAACCACTGACAGTAGTTGTTCCATGTATAATTAGATAGCTGCATCTGTAATACAGTGATGTAAAGAAATGCAGGCCTGCTAAAGACAGCAGAGGTCTTAAGAAATGGAGACCCAGGATGCAACATGGAGGAGTACAAGCCTAGGATCACATGAAAAGGGGCACTGGCTTGGCACTGGAGACTACAACAGCTCTGAGAAACTTCTCAGAGGTCTGTTAAAGAAATGCAGACTTGGCCCTGCACAGAATGGTTTCAAGGATAACCAACAGAAAAAAAGTAACTGTATCTCACATGAAAGGAACCGCATACAGTAATTTGGATGTAGCACAAAGCTGGAGATCAGTAAACAGAGAGTGAAGGTAAAGAAATTTGTAACCAAACACACAAAAATGACCACAAATAGATTCTGGGGTAAATAGAAAGAAACCATCAGCTGCTCTCAGCGAAGGATTTAAACATAAGAATGCCTTAAACATAAGAGCAGGAGTGGTTCTCAAACTCTGAAATTAGAGTTTCCCTCTTTCACAGGTTGAAAAGCTTTATATTAATATTTAATCTTCATTTCTCTTTAAGTCACTTAAGGAAGATATAGTATTCCTCCAGGTCCTCATATTTCCCTAAGAAAGGTCTCAACTGAAACTTTGTAGATACTGCTTGCCTACTCTAGCTGTGATTTTATTTCAACTCATTCCCTTCCTGATTTACTTTGGTGCCAACACTAAATAATGCTTTTAGCCCTTCAGCAGCCAGTTGAGAAATCCATAAATAGTTTGAGGATAATTCTTGTAATGAGTATCATCACAGAAAGAGTGACTGAAATCCAAGTGCATAAATGCAAAACTAAGCTCTTGAAGCATTTACAGTTTCAATACAAACATGACAATGCAAGAAAAAGAACTGTACACCAATTTATACATGAAAAAGAGACTTGCATAGATTAAGCAAACTTTGGTCAAAAATTAAGCCTTTGAAGCCTAACACCTTCACTACAAGACTGTCAGTTGCTAGAGGACATGATTACAGACAGGAAAACTCAAGTCTGCAGGCTGAGATAACAGAACCTGACAGTGTGGATAAACTACGCAGTAAATCTTACCTATCTGTTTCTCCTAAGTTCAGATTAACACTGTGAGCATGAACACAAAGTCACTTCTTGGAAACTGAGTTTCCAAGAAAGCATTAGTCACTTTTGTGAGACAAACATTGATGTTTTCAAAAAGATACAAAAGAACCGGTGAAGTGTCATTAAGAAATGACGCAAAAAAAGCCAATATTTTTTTCCCCAATGAATCAGGATCATTTCCAAGAGGATATTGCAGTTTTGAAGCTGACTATATAGCTTCCTCTGCGTAAAATGACTGTGAGGAGAAAGGAAATATAACTGGAAGAGCCACAAATGGTATTTTTGTCTGAGATCTTTCAGAAAATTAATACAAGCTTCATGCATTAACAAACAATGTAAATATATAACAAGATATACCCAAAATGGAATTTTTAAAAGAAATACTTCATCTTCCTAGTTATAGCAACAGTAACAAGAACCATTACTAATACTGGCAATTCCTAGACTTAAGTAGTTATTGTCATACCCTAAGAATTTATATAATTATCATGCACCAACAATATAATCATACCCTAACAGAAAGCTAAAAATCCCCTGTGAACACAGATGTGCACACGGACAAAAAATGCAAGCATTCCCCTCACAGGCATTAAGAGTAGTCCCTTGCAGAACAGACAGAGGAGCTTGGGTCCCTCTGCTGTTGGATAGCTGCTCAGGTCTGCACCTACACCTCAGAATCTGCACCAGTGCAAGCCTCTGGAGACAAGTGCATTTCCGGAGCTCACAGAATTGCTCCTATTTACAATGCAAGGTGTATATACTCCAATTTAATAAAATAGTTGCATTCTGCCACAACACAACATTCATGGCCACACTTTGGCTTTCTGAAAGACAGAAAAAAACCCTTTAACAGATAAGTTATCTCATAACAAAATAAACTTAGAAGAGCAGCCCATGCATTTAACAAAGAAATTCCAAAGGCTGAACAGGTCTGCTTTCTTCGGCCTGCTTTCCAGAAAAACTTTAATTAAAGATAAAAATGAGATGCACAATACCTTTAATAGCATAGAAGATATTCACCTCAAATCAGTACGTCTTAAAGGAGCGCTTAAATGATATACTTCCAATTGTCATTTATCAAAATTCTTTCACTTCATATCCTCAGAGGTTTATGCTTTTTTCTCTTCATGAAGTTTTACTGATTGCTTAAGAATACATGGTAAGTATGTTAGAAATCATGGTTATGAAGTACCACAGATCAGCTTCCTATTGAAAGTACCACAGCAACAAAATGCACATTTTGACAACGAGGATTGTTAGAATGCTAAAGAAAAGCAATGGCAAGTAGAACTTACAAGAAAAGGGGGGATACTGACACCAGAGGTGAGCTGCTGCGAAATGGAGTGTGTGACGGCAGAGGATCATCTCTCTTTGTGACACGTCAGACTGTACAGAGGATGTGATTTTCTAGATTCACATATTCCTGGGAAGATATCTCAGTGATCAGAAACACAGCTGCACTATTCACACATGCTGCTTGACACAGTCTGAGAAGTAGACTCATTTAAATACTCCATGCCATGACTGCAGATTCTCACCAAGGTTAAATTCAAAATTCCTTCTTCTCAAAACTACTATTCAAACCCAGATCATTTAGTCTACATACTAATTTTAATTTTTTTTCCTTTGTAAACTGTACGCTTACTGATGAGTCTTATCAGATTTAACAACTCTATATAATTTGCTATGTAATGTAAATAACTGAAATAATGTAGCAATTGGTTAATTAAGTTTTAACAAGAATAAGAGTTGAAAGTATTTTCTTTCTTACATATCACAAATTTGGAAATTTTACTCTTGAAAGTAACATCTAACAAAGGTTAAAGTGTCTGGAGAGACTGCAGATGATACAACTTTGCAAATACTCGTACACTGTTCTTGTGCATCATCATTGAGGCCTGGACTTTTTAAAGCCATTTTAGGGACTCAGATACCTAAGAATCTTTAGACTTATTAAAAAACCAGTATTCAGTATTAAGACATCCAAACCTTGGAAATGTTCTTTACTCTCAGCTTCAGAGATGCATTTTACAAAATAAGAACAAATTTTGTTCAAAAGGCCACAATGTCAATTTAAGTCTTTGAGCAAAACAAAAACCCTTCCCAAAAATGAAAGATGAAGACTCTTCAGTATGCATACCATATTGAAAAGTCTCATAGCATGTCCCAGACCCATTACATTTTCAAGCTGGTTCTCACATTTAACTGAGAGAGCGACAGCCTCAAACTCTCTCTCTTAATCTTGAATTCACAATGACAAACCTACCCAAAGCAGGAAAAATTTCTTGAACAGATACTACTTATCTCATTAGTATGTTTGCTCTTGCTGATCACACAGTATTTATGATGACCACACAGAAATTTATGATGAAAAATCTTCTTTTAAAGGCATATATATCATTAGTCTTTCTACTACATTTCAGAGAAAACAAAAACTGTCTTAAGCATTTTGAGACATATTTGTGGCCTTTCTCCTTTGCCTTCCACCAAAAATTGCATGACTATCTATGGCCTTTAATTCTGTTCTGATTTAGATGGTTGAAAGAAGGAAACTTGGTTGTACAGTTGGTAAGAATACGTAATATTTTATGTTAGATTTGTAGGCAAAATATTTACCTACTAAAGACTAATATTTTAAGTAGCAACAATCAATTCTTTACTCACAGAAAAATATTTGTGTTACGATAATAATAAATGCAAACATCTTTTAAAACATTCTTAACCATGAAGTTAACTCAAAATGCCATCAGTTAAAACTTTGGTAACACCGAAATGCTAGAGTTTCTCATTTAGAAGATTTAAATGTTTAGTTTTTCTTTAATCACTTAATCTGATTAAATTTCACTGTATTTCACTCCCTTTTCCCCCTCTTCAAATTTATTATTACATCATAAAACAATAAGAAGGCCAACTCACTGTTGTTGGATTTTGCACAGAAAAAAATGTGATTCAATTATCAAAAAAATACATGTAGGAAGGGGTCATAAATCCTTGTTTGCAGGATACCTGACTCTGGACAGTTCCACATTATACTAGTATTAAGAGATAGCATAAAAAGAACGTCAGAATAAGTAAATCAAACTTTACCAAAAAAAGTAGGATAATCAATTTTCATCACCTACTTGGTTCTGTAGCCATCGTTCTCACCTTCTTTGCTTTCTCCTCAGGCTTCTTTCTCTCTTTCTCAGCTTTTGGTTGAAGGAAATACTTGTAGGCTGCACAAGACCAACAGGTGTGAGGTACTCTTTGTCTTCTACAGCCCTCATAGGTGAAGAAAGTTTCAGCACAAATGGTGACCTACCAGCAATGATACTTGCAGAAGATTGTCCATGAGCTCCAAAATCACACTCACTTTCTGTTCCTCTGTGCAGTAATGTGGTAAAGGATGTAACCTGAAATTGGTTTTGTAGTTTGGCAGCACTAGAACTACATAGGTCCTGAAAAGAACTACCATCTTTCCTATTGGACTCTAATTGCAAACCACCCTGTGCGTAAACAGGTGGGTTTTCATTTCGGCCATGGTAAATTGTTCCCATACTGCAAGTTTCATATAACACAGGTGACAAAAACAGTCTCTCTCTGATATGTAAATCCAAACTACGTGATCTTCTGTGAAAAGGTTTTACAGTGCATCATTTACAGGATAGGAAGAAGAGAGATTTCTGTTCTGATTTAATGCCCTTAAGGGAAGCTTTTTACTTTTCATCTCATATCTTGGAGTTTTTACTTCTAGACAAAGCGCTTCTGTTAATCTTCCAGGACCATTATTATTTCTAGCCATGTAGGAAAGTCCTTGACTTTTGATTTGCAAAGTTGCAGTTACCACTTCATGGTAGGTATCCTTGCTAAAACCAGACTGATTTTTGAGGACAGGCAAATGTTTTCCTCATGATTTTGACAATTTAACAGAGAAAGGTGGTTGAGAGTCAGTCTGTTTTGCAGAAATGTATATTTACTAACTGTTCACAGAAATATCTTTTGTTGCAAACAAAGTTAAAGCCCACTAAGCAGGCCTCACAAAATGGACAGTGCAGTTTTCCAATTGTCCACTCTGCCTATTGACAAGAAAAGAAGAAAAATACCCATCATGTTCACTGAAAATAAATGAGTAAGAAATGATCACTAGAGTTATTTTCTCCTTTAGTCAAAGGGTGAGAGACTTCACTGTAGAAAGAAAATCCACCACAGATAATCTTCTGGTCAAAACTCTGCTTGCTACGGTTAACTAAGAAATCTGTAACACACATTTCAAAATGTAGGAGCTTCGAAATATGTTTAAAACTTGTCCAGAGATAGAATAATGCTGCAATACTAATGAAATCATTAGATTCTTAAAGCAGTGAAATCAATTTGCCATTTGTTAATCTGGAATTGGCAAGCACAGTTTCTCTGTTGAATTTTCTGAGTGCTGGAAATCCATAAACTTGCATACTAAGTACCGTGGAAGGAGATACCTTACAAAAAGAATATAGTTTTTCACTTTATTTACCCCACAAAAGCTTGAAATGGTACTTGTATCTTGGTGTATGTAGCTTTACAACACAATCTCTGCGCAGAGACCATGACAAATCCTTAATACTCTACAAGGACACAGTTATTTTCATTATTTGTAATTTTATGAATTTAATTTCAATCCTGAAGTCACCTTTTCAAAAGAAAATACATGTCAAAAATCTTTGAACTCCTATGTAATTACACAATTATTAGTACAACATATTTACACAACTATTAGTATTTTCAGTAAATATAGTAATCTGTCAAGAGAGACACTGTTGAGGATTGAAGTTATGCAGGTGTTTGTAGGAGCAAAGACCAGATGAGAAACATTATCAACTCCAGTCACACTTTATTCACTAATGTTTCTAAAGTGAGGTTGAGCCATGAATACAGAAGCTGCCCAGCATTTCTGGTTTAAGCACTGCTTTCAGTTGCAAATGGCTTTCAAGGTAATTTGGGAAGACTGATGACTGGTACTTGTCTGATTGAAAGCTATACAAAATTTCAGTAAAATAAATTTTGCAGTTTCAGGAAAAAAAAAAACCATCAACTTGTGTGGAAAAAAAAGGTTATTTTTCACACACAATGCTAGAAAATGTTCTGGAAACACTTATCAGAGAAACTTACTCCTGCCTTGTGAGTTAAAACCTCAAAATTACACGAAGCACCAAAGATATGCCTTGTATCACACCTATGAGAATCTGTTTAAATCTGGACAGGTTTTTAACTTGGAGAAAAAAAAGATTAGTTAATATATAACCAAAGACCAGTTTACATATGAGCAAAGGCTTTCAAATCCTTCAAAATTCCTTGAATATGCACAATCTGTCAGTTTATGAGGCTGACCAATGTGTGCATATGCCACTACCAAAGACAAATTAGGCTTGTTCAGAGATTTACTCTCCAGCACTTCATTTTGAGATCACAGAGCACATAATCTCAGAATATGCTGAGCTGGGACTCACAAGGATCAAGTCCAACTCCTGCCCCTGTACATGGCCATCATGAAGAGTCGCATCATGTGCCTGAGTCTATCATCCAAATGCTTCTTGAACTCTGTCAGGCCTGGTGCTGTGACCACTTTTTTGGGGAGCCTGCTCCAGTGCCCAACCACCCTCTGGGTGATGCCAAGGGCTAGGCATTAAAATTAAGGGAATAGCACTTTCTAGTGACTTTATTGAGGTTTTCTGGCATGGAATAGTATCCTGGATTTTCAAGTGGAGAGGAGGAGTGATTCCTGAAGATTAGGGAAGAAAGCTAGGAGCCTGGTAAAAATGGGAATGCAAGAGACAGTAAGAAAGAAGAAGGACATATCTATGTCCCTTATGCACAGAGACTGAGAGATGAGGTGTGGTACCAAGGAGCCTGAGACTGATTTAGCATGAATTTGGCAATGGACTGTGAAAGCATTGACTCAGTAAAGAAGTAACAGCCTACCATTGGAGGAGGTGGCAGGGGAAAAATTAGCAAGATCTGAAAAGGAGCTGAAGGTACACAGATTTAATGTTGGACTGCATAAAGACGAAAAATGTGAAATCGTTAGAAAAAGAAGCCAAAACAAGTGATAAGTGATGGGGAAAAGAAAATACAATAAAGGCCACTAGCAGCACTAGGTATATATGTACAATTATTGAAGATTATCTATACACTAATATGTGCATGAAATCCCAGGAGATCAGTTAAGAACAGGGACAGATGGCGAAAGAGAACCGGCTGGGAACCAGTGGGTTTTTACAGCCTGCAAATAGACTTTGCGCTTATGTAAAATGATTTAGCTTTTGATTCAGGAGTCATACAGGAGAAAATAACACATGATCACAAAATTATTCAGAGCCCAGGAGGATCTGAAGATAACTCAGAATTGTTTAAAAACCGCACATATTTACCCATAAAATCACAGGATCTTGCCAGAGAAGCCAAGAGTTTGAGGCACGAGTTTCTAGGATATTAAATGACAAAATGAAGACAAAGATGTTGAAGGTGTTCACAGATAATTGTGTTCTCTGCCTTTTTCACCAGAGGAGCACTGCTCCTCTGCAACCTTGAGTAAATATGTCAAGTCTTTTCTGGGCAGTCTATGGGTTTTGTATTTCCCAGGTCTCCTAGCTGACCCTCTAAGGTTTCAAATGCAGAAGGTAGAGGTAAATAGAATTCCTTTACAGTTAAGTATGAAAAGAATAATATTACTATCAATATTGAATCTAATTTTACTGAAATCCCAAATCTTTGTTTGCGAAGCCCAGCCACGATGATGATTTACTGAAATAATATAACAGGCAAAGTACTGTCAAAAATTGCATCCTTTTGATTTAGGATTCATGATTAGGCAATTTTGTAAAGTGAGAAAATACCTCATGACCCATAATTTTCAATGCACCTCCAAGATCAATGTTTCTCAAACAGATACACCATTCTGTTATTCATCATAGAAGAAAAAAAGACTGCTAATTTTAACAATAATTTAATTAATGTTTAACAAAATAAAACGTAGAGCAATACAATGAAGGAAAAGAAAACAATTTTTTTTTAATTTTTAAATGCTTAGCTTTACAGTCATAACATTTGTTTTTTCTTTGTGCATCAATTTCAGTGTGGATTTGTTAGAACAGAAGTTACTTAGAATATAGTAAAACTTAGACACTGAAGTCTAAGCAGAAAAGAATGCAGATGTCATTTGCTTATCACAATCAAAGACTCATCAAAGTATATCTGTAGGGCAAAAGAAAAGCACTGTTTCTGCTTATTAATATCTATGCAAAAACATTAACTTCCACGCCTAAAACAACTTAGAGAAAATACTCAACTGAAGTAATCAGTACAACAGGAAAGTTATGAGATGGTTTGTAATCTCAAATGAGCAGTTAAAACTCAAAAGCAGTCACACTGGCTTGTCATCAGACCTTTGAGTTTGTAGGATGGTATCTACTTTCTATTCATATGACATAATAGCACATTAAGTATAAAAGACAACACATGATATTCCAAAAACTGATCTCTTAACAAACCCTCAGTCCAGTTTTATGAGGAAACGTGTTTCTTACTGATGCCAATTTTATGCCCCAAACAGGCGTGGAGAAACCACTCAGAGACAGAGTTTAGGTCTTTGAGTAGCGAGGCATTTATTGCAATACAACATTGGGGAGGCTCCCAGCTCACACTGGACAAAAGAGCTCCAAAGTAGTAGTGAACATCTGGATCCTTTTATACAATTTTTGCTAAGCAATTGCATCATTATTCATGAATATTTATAATATTGCAACATCTAGTTTTAACAGTCATAACAGGAGGAGTTAAGATGGAGTTAGGAGCGTGGTCTTCAATCCGGGGAGAAACATGGTGGTAGTTCCTGTTCTTTGGCCTCCTGAAGGGTCTTTTTCCTCCTCTTCATTGCCATAAACTTTTGACCTTTCCCTACTTTGGATGGTTTCCTTGTGCATTTGGCAGAAGTTCCTGATATTTGGCAAGAGTACCTAGGTCTTGGCTCATCTCTGTTTCCTTATCTTCCTCTGTCTCCCCTCCATATGCCTATTTTATGTGCATGTTAGCATCTTTGGTTCTCTCTGTTTCCCTGTGTACTTACTTTATGCCCTTTGTGTCAGTGTCCTGCATTCCTTAATGAGTTATTATCTCTGCTGTTCCTAAGACTTAGTTCTCTATGCTTTTGCTCAAAGCATGGATTCTAAATTAACTCTCTAATTCTCGTTCTGCTAATATCACATTCGTTTCTCAGGCCTTGCTCTGCTTCATTACTGTCACTGTCAAGATATATGTTAGTATTACAAGATATAGCGAGCAAGACAAAGCAAACCACAAAACCTAGATAATAAATATAATATTAAGCATTGACAAATAAGCAGAGGTGCCCATGACAATTTTTTGGACAAACAATACACTCATCTATAAAGGAGCAGGAAACAGAATTTATCACTTGTAGCATTTCTGCATACATTAAAAACAAAACAAAAGAAATCAGCATTTAAGAGGGAGGAAAAAAAATCTGTAAATGGTAGTGATAGAAGTTACTGAGAAGAATTCCCTCAGCTATAAGATGTCTGTAACATACAATAGACCTTGGCAGAAAAGTGTTCTTGAAACTTGTTCCCCTTAGTTATTTCACATTTTGAATGTAAAGATGCAAGAAAAAAAAAATCTACCTTTTCAATGACACATTTCACCTACTCTGGAATGGCATCTAAATTCACACTGCAAGAGTCCTGAGCAGCAGCTGAAGTTTGTGATGTCTGTTAAAAAAAAAATTACTGTATTGATATTTAACATTCATGTGAGATCTTTTTCTTTGAATACAGCCAGAAGTCAGCTTCCCAAATTCAGTAAATATTAACAAAAGATTAAACTCAAATATGTTTATGCATTTTTTATTCTAAAAATCAGGTAGATGCTGTCAATAATTCTCTATTTCTGAATCTAAGGACATTGGACAGACTCCACAGTGGAGATGTAGGTGTCTGGAGGTGGTTTTGTCTTGTTTACAAGAACAGAGAGCATGCAATTACAGCTTTTCCAAGAATATTTGTAAAATGATTTCAGAAGCACTATCAATGGGCATAATTTTCCAGTTAAATCTGAAAAATGTAAGTTATAGTTTATAAGAAGACTGTGATCAGTACTGCACAAAGGACACACATAGTTTCACATTAATTTTCTAATGCTGTTTAGAATAACTAGCTGAGAAATCAGATAGTCTTAGTAACTTTAGAGTTTTTACTGATACAATGTGATCAACTAAATAGAAAAAAAATAAATCTAACACCCTATAGCATTTCACTAACTCATACTAAAATAAAAACAATTACCTAACTAAAGTAATAAAGATGGCTGAAAATATAAGGAAATTCTAGTGAGAAAGTCCTAAAAGCAGTTGTTAAATTTTATGAATATAGAAAATGTAGGCTCCTATATTATGGAATATAAGTTTCATTCTGATAAAAATTGAAAGTGGGACTATACACAGAAGATAGAAGCTTTTAGAAATTCTCCAAGTATTAACAGCAGACAGGTCCATCTACCATGTCTACGCTATTGTCTCCCTCCTATCTGTGGACAGTACCTGTACTTCAATTTGGATATAATTCTAATTTAATATAATTCTAATATAATTCTAATATAATTCTAATTCGAATATAGTTTATACTATATTTGTAACTTTAAAATTTGTTTTAAAATCTGTTCTACAATTTTTCTTTTTTACTCATATTTCAGCTGTGTCTTTGAGCGAAGGTCTAAAATTCATCAGGAAGTCAACATACTGAAAATATCATTCTTCTCATCATAGTACTATCTTTGCCTCCCAACACCTTCAGATATAGTGTTAAAACACACTTTTTTATCTTCTGTCTACATAATCAGAGAAAGAGCTACTTCAGTCAATGATGGTGGATCTCCACTCACAACTAAAAGTGTCACCATGGGGTATGGTCAAAGATACCTCCTTCTTTCCACTACTAAAAAAGTGAATACATTTTTTTCATTAAATTAGTTGCAATTCCCACATCCCTCCCTAAAAATCACTTCAAACCATTCACAAAAAACACCCTCAAGTATAAAGCATGAAAATTATTCCAGGGCCTCAAGCTCTGTAAGTGGAGTGATTAAAATAAGGTTTATTAACAATACTAATTAAAAATGATCTTAAAAATAAGGTTTTTTCTGCATCTACTGGTTATAACCTTCTCTACTGCCAAAAAGAATGTTGTAGCATTACTAATGTGTTAATAAAAAACACCAAGACCTTCTTTTCTATTTGCTTCTTCACTTTGATTCAAGATCACCAGATGTAAGCACAGTCTTTTTGGCATATTTGGAAAGACTCTAGGTCCTTTTGATTACTAACTTCCATCATAAACCAGTAGGAAATACTCTGTCATAGTTTTATTCTGTATAATTATCTTTCTGTGTATTTTAATAAAGAAGATATAAATTACTAAATTGTATTTTAGCCTGGCAGGGCAAACCATACTTTGGACATACAAGATTAATTACAAAGTGAGGCTAATACTTCTCCTTCATTTAAAACAAACAGCACTGGAGAAACTTACAAACTCACTCTAAAGAAGGTATACTTACTTCAGATAGTTCTTTTCCATTGCATTTGGCAAGGCAAACAGAATTTGCTATGTATTTTCTACAACTCCAGCAACGCAGAACATCAGCCTCTTGGTTATTCATTATTTCAGCTTGTGATATTTTGGCTCTGCATGTCAATTTGTAAAGACCACAAAACATACAATTTGGTCACTTGCTGACACCACCGCTTGTCTCTTGCTACCTTGAAGTCTATAAGTATTCTCATCACTGCAGAAGAGACTAATACTTTATTCACAAACATTCTTTGATCTTGTATAGCATACTACCTAGATGCTTTTAATAGTAAAGTGACACAGTTGGTTTTATTTCCAGGTTGCATAAAAGAATTAGAAAGCAACAACAACAAAACAACTAAAACCAAACCAAACAAAAGCAAACAAACAAGCAAAAAACGTGTCCAATATTTAGACAAAAGACAAGGAACACCCCTTTTCACAGAATATGTCCATAGAAATAAAGCACTGCTATCCTAAACATTAAATAAGCATACTCACATCTAATACCACATAACAAAACTGAATGCCAACATAAAACCATGCAAGACAAAGACTCCTTTTACAATATGCCCCTGGAGGCTTGCTCCTTAGAAGTTTTTTTGTGTAGAAGGATCAACACTACTGGTGGCAACAGACTTTTTCACAGACCTGTATCGGCCTCCCTGTGAATGACCTAAATTCACAGAATCAGAGAATATGCCAAGTTGGAAGGGGCCCACAAGGATTATCAAGGACAAAACAAATATTCTATTTTACTTTGTGTCTTGCTGTGTTCTCTGGTGTCTCTCTGGTCTTCTCTAACCTGTGTCCAAAGTCTTCCCTTTTTGTTATGCTTTCTTCAAAGGTCCTCCAGCTCTTCTTTATACCCACTTCTGTTTTTATCCTCTTGTGCTAGCTACATTAAAAAAATAAGAAAATCTTTTTCATCCACATCTCAATTGAAGCCCTATACTAGTTATGCTTATTCACAGTGCTAAAGCGCGCAGTGATCACTGATGGGGAAGCTGGAGTATAAAACTAAAAATCAGTATCAAGAGAATCTCTGTTCTACCAGTCCAAACATCTGATTTTGCAACTATATTAACTTTTAATTTTTATTTAGTTTTCACTAAGGAAAGAAACTCTGAGGCCTTCACTATAGGCTGTCTGAAGAGCAGTTTGCCTTACTGAGTCATATAGACTTTTGCATTTTCCCTATTTCTACCTTTCTTTTTCTGCTTTGTTTTCTGAATCAAAGACTATGAAACACACAGAGAGGTTACTCATTATTTTTCATTTATGTCTGAGGTCTTCAATCAGCAGATTTTCTACTTTTTCTACAAATTTTAAGAGTCTGGAATACTGGATGAACAGAAATGTGTGCATAATTTAGACTCCTGGCCCAGTGTACATGCAGCTTTTAACAACCAGATCCATTCTAGGCTTAAAAAGTGAAATTAAGGCAAACATCAAATATTTTCTTGCAATACCACAATAAATAAAAATAAATTTTTATTTAGAATCCATAATGTATTTTAACATAAGGTGGCCAAGCAGAAGGCCAGGGAAGAGACACTTAGGTAAAAGGTAAGAATCTATACTAGTAACCCCTCTTGTTCATGACAAAACATGATGATTCAAACGTTTTAACTTAAGCAGGATATCTCTCAAGTTTTTACTACCCTACTTGTGTCAGTGATGCTTTCTGTACCAGACACATTTCAGAACTGGAATGCATAAAATTATGAACTCTTCTATGAATGATTTTTTTAAAAGTAAATCCACACTGATAAATTTTACAAGTACTTTGTATCACTTTGCTATGATAACATTAGGCATCATAGGGTAGTGAAAGAATGATTATCAGTTATGAATTTCTTTATATCACTCAAACACCTTAAACCAGTTCTAATTAATTCTTCATAGCTTCTTAACACAATTCTAGAATTAATTAATTTTACAACAGCCCCAAATCTAAGTCCAACCAGAAAGGACTGAAAGACTTAATGCACAAGGCTAGCTCAGACATTCTTTTCAGGTAGAGCTATATCCTCATCTATTCAAATATATTCTAGAAATGGTCTACACTTAGTGATATACACCTTACATATCTTTGTATGCTGCATTTTGTATTCAAATGGTATATTGAAGTCTCTACATACATTCTATTCCCCTCAGAAAAAAAGATGCTTTGCTATCTGTTGAACAGCTGCTTCATTTGAGGCTGATAATGCTCACTGGAGTAGGGTAAAAACCACTTGGTGTTAGACCCCTCAACAATCAAATAAAGGACTGATGAATAAATGCACTTGCTATATTTAAAAGACAAGGTTAAAGTAATGCAAACAAAGGTTCTCTAAGGATGACTGGCATTTGAAGTGATTTGAACATCCCTCTTATCTATATATCTTCCAAGCATGCAGTTTTTACTGCAAAATAGGTCTTTTTTTTCTAATTTATTTTTACAGTTTGAAAGGTTCTTAGTTCAGCATATACTGTTGATTTAAAACTACACTTACATAAGAGAAATGAGTCTATAGCACAGGTTGTAATTTGTGTAACCAAGAATGCTGATAGTGAACAACATGGAAAAAAATCCAGCTCAAGTGGATACTTTTTAACACTATGTTACAGGAGGCTGCAGTGTTTCTCTGGCCCAGCAGTATTTAAACAGGAATATTCCTGTAGATCTATTAAAATTCTGCACGCATGTGCCTTTTGCAGTTCTTACAAAGGACAGAAGAAACACTACAAATGCACGTTAACACATCGCAGAGGTTTCTGTTAGAGAACACCAAATGAGATGTTTCTGATTTATCACATCAACATTGCCTTCTATTTTTATTTGCACATAACTTCAATTGGAACTCAAATAAAAGCATATGACCATAGGATTTTGAAGTGGGTTTGTAGTTAAATGCAGTTCAAGTGATTTGTCTTTCAGTAAAAAGTGCCAGCATAAAGATAGAAGTTTTCAATTCGGAACTCAGAAAACAGAGTCACCCTGAGTGGGCCTTTTCAGCTTGGCGCTGGGCCATGTGTGTTTTGTCTGTACTGCTTCCAGATCAGTTCCTTTGTGTGAGTTCATGTTTGCCTCCAAAATAGCATGTAGACATATCTGAGTGTTAAAAAGCCTGTGCTCCTTGATGGATTTTGTTTGATGACCTTTAAATACTTTCCTGTGATTCAGGACCAGTAAAATCAGTACCAGAGTCCTAAGACTTCTTTTCCAAGTCACTCCCAGATCCCTTTTTTGAAAATCATTTGTCTAGCCTTCTTTTAGAAATCTTTGATGAAGATTTCACAACTTTCCAAAACTATTTCATTACCTTCTTATCTTTTATTAACTTTTTCCCTTGCACCTAAACTATATTTTCCAGTAATTTCCATTATTTTCTGTGAATACAGAGAACAAAAAGGCTCCTTTTCTTCTGTGCAAGAACATTTAACAAGTTTAAACACTTATTACATATTATCTCCCCTTCAAACTTGTCTTTGAGCTAAATAAATCTTTCTCACTTTCCTCATAGATCATGCTTTCTTGGTCTCCAACTGTCACTGTCATTTTGTGAACTCTTTCAAATGGGTCAGCCATTCTTGCTGAATACAAGATGGATGATGAACTCTGTGAAGCTTCACTAGCACTGAGGAAACGAAACAGATTATATAAATTTTCAAGGGAAAAAAAGAATGAAGGATGCCTTTTTTTATCTAAATTTCTTGTAAAATTCAAATTGCGTAATGTATTAAGCTTTGGACATTTCTTCTTCAAAAACATTGCTAAAAAACTCCAATTAAAAATTTTTGAATGTTCAAAGCGAAGAACTAAAGAAAACCGTCTAAATTTGTGTTGAAATTTCATCTAGAATTTCAACTATCTCGCCCTTCGTTACCAAATACATAAAAATGAGAGAATGAGTAGCATAAGTGGTTATCAAGGTATTTTTGTTCAAAAATTACCTGTGATCCCTTCAGAACACTGCAGCCATCAAAATTACAATAATAATTAGGTTGCAGAGAGAAATTAGGGCACAGAAACTTAAGCATTAATTACTGAGAGTCTTGAAAAAGGTAGATGAGTGTCAGCTTTGAAGAAGCATGACAGAGAGAAGCTAGATGAGCTGTCCTAGCAAACAAGAGTCCATACCATAAGTTCCTGCTTACAGAAAATGAGAAGCTGACACTCCACCAGACAGAGAAACCTTCACGGAAGACATTAAGGTACACATAAAAACTTGCTGCTGATTTCTCATCTCCAAATTATTCCTTCTTAAAGAAACACTTGAAAAACCCTACTTAAAAAGTGTTTCTCAATAAAGTAGCACTTATACGGGAAGACAGAAAAGAAAATGTAAAGAACTGTCTCCAGGCTGCCAAAGAAGAAAAGCAGCAAGATGCATGAAGAGCTGTGCCATCTGCTCCTGTGCCAGCTCCTTCTCGACTATGAACTGTTCTACCAGTTCTGCTACTGTTGTGTGATCAGCTTCCATATCATAGACCAGCAGCTGATTACAGAGGATGGACAGTGTGTGATACTCTTGTAGCAAGACTAACCCATATAATTAAATGACAGTTAAAAAAAAAAAAAAGGAAATAATGCTACTTGCAAGGTATTGCTTAACTTGCTAAAACCGCCTTCAGCATGATGCTGAAGTCAACAGGTGTTCAGGCACAGCTGGGATGTGGAACGTATAAATAGCTGTGACAGGGAACCGACCCAGCGGGTCTACAGACACAAGGGATGGGCGCCTAGCCGCTTTCTTCCATGAGATCCCATGAGACCAGCACTGCTTGTTTCATGCTCTTGCACGTACAAACATTACCCGTTTCACAGAACAAAGGATGAAACAAGCAGGAACACGGCGCCTTGTCCCAGCGTAACGCGAACTCCTGGCCGTAAGTCACCAGGGGGCACCGCCGCAGGTGCTGCAGCCGCCCGCGGCGCGCCCCGGTGCCGGACACCCTGAGGCCCGCAGGCCGGGGGCGGCGGTGTGGGGGCTCCGGGGGGCGGCGTGCTGCCGCCGCGCGGGCGCCCTCGGCGGGCGCTGGGGTTGCCGACTCGGGCGCTCGGGCAGGCGTCCCCCGCTCCGCGCTCACTCCGCAACGCGCCCGCCCAGCAGGCCCGCTCGGCCCCCGGGCGCGGCGGGCGTCCCGGCCCACTCAGTCACCGGCAGGCAGAGGAGGTGGCGGCGCTGGAGCGGGCGGGGATGGGGTTGCGCAGTAGCAGCTGCTTCCTGCGAACGGAAGAGACGGGAGACAACGGCGGCGGAAAGCGCTCCGGGAGCGCGGCCCTGCCGGCCGAGGAGTCACCGGTCCTCCGGCAGCTGCGCGTCCTCGTCTCCCGGGAGCTGGGACTCCGCCGGCTGAGGGCAGCCGTGCAGACGCCGGAGGAGGGCAGTGCCCGCGCCTGCGAGCCCTGAGGGGGCACGTCCCGTCGCCTCCTGAATGGCAGGGATGGAGCCGGGGTGGGGTCGGCCCTGGCGTCAGGCTGCGACCGTGGAGAAGAGGGATTTGGGAGAACTAAACCAAAACTTTTCAATAGACACTGGGACAAAAAAAATGCTTTCTCTCAGGCCCGACATAGTACAGTCAAAGAGAGGGACCAAGGACATCAGAGACACCGGCAGGGGCGAGCCAGCCGGTAGTGCTGGGTATCGTCAGTAGCCCCTGACTGTTTTAAGGAGCGGTAAGAAAAAGAAGGAAGCTTTAAATGAAGTGAGGTGGGGGAACAAAGGAAACTTATGAGTCGTTGTAGGGAATTTCTGCGCGTCACGGGGGACTGCGTGGAAGGAAAGGCAGCACGGCGGCCCTTTCGTGAGCGTCTGTACCGCGGCAGCGAAGGGACACGAGCTGGCGAGTCCCAGGAGCAGTTTTTGCACCTCCGTGGTGTTTTGCCCTCTTGCGTTTTGCCCTCTTGTGGCGATACTGTGACTAGAACGGGAGATAACATGTCCTCGTAGCTCACAGTCTGTTGATGGTTGCTGCGCTTCAAACAGAGAGTAAGGAAGGCTGGAAGATTACTGAGGAAAATAAAATTAGAGTCCGTTCACCTGTGAGGGTGATTGAGTACTCTGAAGCCTCCATTTCACTCTTTCTCCTACATTTATGGTATATAATTTCTGTGATTTTCCTTGCATTTCAATGTCTAACCCCTGCATCTGCCTGATGCAGAAATTAAGTTCAAGGTAGGGTATATATGATATGCCTTTTACTGGGATAACCTCTTAAGTCATGGTGAGCATTTAAAGGATCAGCGCCAAACTGGCACACAGCAAGTCAGAAACCAGAGAGTATCTTTGCTGTTCTGTGACAGGGATTGTATATCAGGAACACTATACTGAAGGCTGTATGCAGGGCATAATTGAACACTGAAACACACTGCAGGGCTGTACTGATTTGTGCATATACTGTTTTCATGTTCATGGCACATGGACAGTATATCCAGTTCACAGGCACTCTATGAGCATCTCTAACAAGTGGTATGTTTTCCAATATTCACACCAGGCATGCATTGTTTCCTTTTCAACAGTGTTGATGTAGCTGCCTAGGAAAAGGGATGACCTGATTGTCATTCCTGTAGAGCTCCTTTCTTTACCAAAATGTGTCATCTTCAATAGAAAAGGTTACATTTTCTGCAGCTATTCAGTAATGCACTAATGAATACCCCAGGCATTAACCCAGTTTTGTAATCCCTCATTCTTTGACCCATTAGGCTGCTCCACTAGCTGGGATCATCTCCAAGACCTGCATATCTATTATTTGGTCATCTGTTCTCGAGGAAAATATTTTAGAAAATGGCCAAAGAGGGAACATTAGAACAATTGACTGAAGCAACAGAAATTGTTGGGTAGAACTTTCGGGACTTGATACTGAGCACAGGAGGAAAATTATTGTTGCCACTACCCATTCTGTTTGTTTTTTTTGTTTTTTTTTTTTCCTAAGCAACTTGCACGCTTAAACAGATTTGTAATTTGGAGAAGCCCAGTGAGCAACACCAGCCTGTTTCACCCTTCACTAGGGGATTAATTGCTGGATAAACTTTGGTAACAGTAGGCACTACAATAGCCATAAAGAACAATATTTTTACTGTATGGAAATTATCATATTTTTGTATTTCATTATCCTACTGAAAATACAGCTTGACTTTCAATCCAGCACATCATTGAAAAGCTTTTCCAATTACAATGTAAATTGTAAGAAATGACATTTCATTCCCTTGCACTTGAAGATAATGGTTTATATTTGATTTGTATATATATTTGATTTGTAAACCAACTAATTTGAAGTACAGCGATATGATAGGAACTTTACAGAAGTTAGTGGTGGCACTTATTTCCTTTTTAATCTTACACTTTCTATGAAAAGAAGATTATCCTTGGTAATAAATTTGTAATGGTTTGTATTTGATTTGTGAATTCGTAAATTCGTACTTCTACAAGAAATCTAAAGCCTGTATAAAATATGCATCAATTAACTAAACATTTGCTTTCCTTTTACTTCTTTTTGAAAACCAATCAAATCCATCTGAAATTACTCTGTGTGGTGATATGGTGGAATATAGTTAGGGAAAACATTTTTTAAGTCACTTAGGACTAGACCTAATAAAGGAATTTTTAATATACTTTTAGCTTGTGATTGCTTATTCCCTGGAATGGAATCTAGAACTGTGTTAAATGTAGAGATCCTTTCTGTGCTTCAGAACCCCACTGGTCAAGGAATCTTCCTGTCCTGAGAGAGGATAAAAGAAAACACTATAAAGAAGAAAAATAAAGTAAGTCAGTGAACCTGATTGTTTATCACCTTTGGGAGCTAGTTCCTAGAAGTAAAACTAAAATGGAAAAAAGACCTAAAGCCACTTCTCTCTACAACTTGCTTATTTATCTCCCATTTTGCATAACTTGGGAGAACATGCTAGTTATCCAGCTAAAAATAAAAGCACATATTCTTTTTCTCCATGGTGGCATGGCTTCAAAGAATTTGTGATCTATGGGACTATATGGGATGGAAAAGATGCCCAAAGAATTGTGGAGCTCACATGGGGGAGGGAATTCCAGGGATTTTCAAGGATGAACTTAAGTGTTTTACACCAAATAGACATGTAAAATTACATCAACAACCCTTTGAAGAGAGTTTTTTACTATTTTATATTTAGTTGGTGTAAATAATAAGGACATTACAGTTAGAGCAATCATTGTAAATTTTAATCAGGACTTTTGAATAAGTTGATTCATTTTAGATTATTTGTAAAGAGAAACAAAAGTGTGTCTTCCAGTAAAGGGCTTGACTTGAAGACTGAGCTTAGATAAGCCAAAGAAATTCATGCAGTCTGAACTACTAAGGAATTTGGAGAGAATATCTGAAAGTGAAGTTAATTTTTGTTAAAGTAACAAGAATTTATATCCAAGCAGGGAAAATGCTTTCAGAAATAAAGCTAGAATGAAATGGATAGATAATTAAATAAGTATTTTAGACAGATCTTCAAGGAATAGAAAAGAACAGAAAGGAATTAAAAAATTACTGATCAGCAAATATAATTTTTTTTTTTTTTTAGAATGTGGAATGGCAATTAAAACTGCTCAAACTGAAGCTGGATTAGATCTTGTGAAGAATGTTAAGAAAGTGCTTTGTGTGATTTATGTGCTATATGGGTGTGCACTTGGAGACTGTTGGCAAGAATTTCTGTTATCAGCTGGGGACTCATCAGATGAAAGCAATAAGGAGGTAAAGTATTGGAGTGTATTAATTGGTCACAGATTGTCTGTGCATTGGCTGTGTGATGTAGCTCTGAAAAGACAAGACTGTGCCCTGGACTGTGGGTATATTTCCAGTACATAAAGGTTCAAATCAATACTCTGGTAATTCTTTATTTGAAATAATGCAGGGAATGATAATAATAATTTTTTCAAGAGATAAATTTGGACTAGACTATTGTGGCAGCTTGAGCCACATTTAGAAATCCAAAATTATATTTCCAGGCTTCCCCCCACCCCTTCCCACAATTTATCCTAACACCGGAGAGAAACTTTCAGACCAGAGGCTTCTGTAGGTAAAGAGGGAAGTATATACATTTATTTACACTAATAAATACTATACAAACTAAAGGCAACTATATATATATTACATTTCTATCAATCAGTCCTTTCAAGCCCCTCCTTTAGCTTTAGTCCAGGAGCAGCTTTTCAAGGCTGATATGTAACACAGTCTTTTGCTGTGGGAGTGTTCTGGGCTCCCGAAT